TCCACTGTGGTTCTTGAACCCTTGGCTCAGGTTATGTGTGTCTGGAATGTTGTATTAGGAATTTACTTTTCCATCCATCAGTTTACACTCTGTGTGCAGTTTGATGGCATCTTGCTAATACAGCCTAGTTGCACTGTAATTCACCTTATAATCCATTGTATCAACACTGACTTTTCATTGTGCAACCTCCTAACAAGGTGACTGGTTCCTCTTATGCACTGTATCACTATAGGATAGTGATATTTTAAGATGTCCCTGCAGGCTGTCTGGCTTGAAGCTTACTGCTGTCACTAATGGATATGTGGAAGTATCTTCCTTTATGAGAAAAAGCAAAACACATACTGTTTAAGCAAAAGATGCTCACCTGCTCCAGGACTGCCCTTCTTTAGCACATCCTGCCCATCTCAAATGTGGGCTGTGTTGGTAATATGGAAAAACTACAGTATCTCTGAGTGTGCTATATGCAGCTCTGTGCCGGAGGAGAACTGGTTAGTGTCTTTTTGGGGTACTTTTAACAAATATGATGGACTCTGCTATTTTTTGTACCTATTTCTTCTGCTGCCTCAGGAACACCAGGAAGCTGGAACAGAACAAATTGGGCCTGGCTGATGGCTGACAACTGCAAGATGGGCTCAGGATGCTGGCACTCTCCTTGTCTAATAATTCACATCTTGTGAGCCCACAGATGCTCTCACACCACATATGCTTTTCTGTCCCTGCAGATACAATTTTTACAGAGCACTGTGTAATCTCCAGTTGAAAGTGATATAATAAGAGTCGTGGTAAGATATGTATGTTATGTGCTGTGGTGTTAGCAATGCACTTTATACAGGTATTGAAAACTGAAGCCTCATTGGAATAAACCAGTGGAGAGCTCACAAGCACCTACTGACAGGTTTTGGTCCAAAACATGAAATTCACAGAATGTCAGCATGTAAGACAAGCAGAAGTTCGTTGAAATAAGGCTCTAAAGCAATGGCAGACTTCAGCAGAAGTCCTTACTTGGGCAGACAGTGGCTGCTTGCAAAGTGCCACTTGCAGGAGGTTAGCTGGTCGTTTGCTGCCAGTTCTGCCGAGTTTAAAAATCCAGCCAAGTCTGCGCCCTCTGCTGTCACTATCCAGTGGTTTTTTCCTACATAATGACCCAAATAATCAGTTTTTTAGCTTTTCTGTATACATATGAGTCTTTAATTGCATTGTCTACAGAGAAGTCTAACAGGGATTATCAAACAGGAGATGTTTTAGTCTGAAATACAGCATCTTTGTAAGTCTGACTGAAAAACAGAACTGAAATCCACGGACCAAAGAAGACTGAAAATACAAGTTTTCGTTTATGTCTTAGCCCTATTCCATTTCTGCAAGATCTTTTCTGGACACCTGCCTGTGTGACCTATTGCAGGGTGTCTGCTTTAGCAGGGGGTTGGACTTGATGATCTCTTGAGATCCCTTCCAACCCCTGCACTTCTAATCTTCTGTGATTCTTTTCACACAAACAGCAGCAGGCAGATGCAAGACCGTTCACCTCAGTGTGCGCAGCGATGTGGGAATCTGCTCCTGAGTTTTAAAGAGAGACCAGGAATTTGCTTTGCCTTTGTTAAATTTTGAAAACTAGGAAACTAGAAGAATAGCCAGCATCATTGAAACCTAACTAGCTGTTTGCCTGATCAATCAGCTGGACTCCAGTATTATTCTGATACACCAGTGTGCTTGGAGTTGTTTATCTATTTGGCAGTTACCTATGGCTGTTTAAATTCAGCCAAGAATGCAGGGACAGCTCTAAATAATTGAAACAAGAAGTTAAAAAGTTTTATGTCTGGTACTCAAGACACTTATTTTAGAAGCAATCCATGGGTCAGTAAAAAGTACCATCACAGTTTGTGATATTTTCCATCCTGTTTATACTCACTAGGCAATGCATTAATAAAAAAAATACAGCTCAGTGATGAGACAGAAGAAGATCTCAGCCTGTAAAAAGGAGAAATTCATATTGCTGTCTTGGAAGCAGCATTCCTCTGTGCTTGGAGCAGTGGGATGGTGTGATCCATTTGCTATCAGAATGGTAAAGTGCTGGAAGGGGTTGAAACGCACTTGATGTATGCTAAAAGTGCTACCAGATGGAAACATCTGCAATCAAATTCAAATCAAATCAAATCAAATCAAATGAACTGGACTGCAGGCAGCCCTGTACACAGCAGGGGGTTGAAAATGGATGGACTTTAAGGTCCCTTCCAAGCCAAGCTGTTCTGTGATTCTATGATTTCTCAGCTGGAAGCTAGGAATTCCTGCTGCTTTTGGTCTGCTGTAAAGGAGATGCATACATATGTATGGCACATAAATGGCAAGACTGGCTTAATTCAATATCTTACAGAGATACTCTGGTAAAAGCACAAAAACTGTAAGGCTATCAACACAATTATTGCTTGCAGGAATCTAAAAGTCAAAATCTAGAAGATTTAGCTTTGCTTTTTCCTCATGCAGCACCCTCAGCAACCTACAAAGCCACTAAAGAGACATGGACCCATGCACCCAGAGAAGGATCACAAAAGTTGTCCAAGGGATGGAACACCTCCCCTGTGAAGACAGGTTGAGAGGGCTGGGATGTTCAGCATGGAGAAGAGAAGGCTGTGAGAAGACCTGAGAGCGGTTTTTCAATATCTAAAGGCGAGCTGTAAGAAGAACTCTTGTCTGTTGTGACAGGGCAAGGGGAAATGATTTCAAACTAAAAGAGAGGAGATTTAGGTCAGATGTAAGGAAGAAGCTTTTTTAAGTGTGGTGAAGCTCTGACATAGGTTGCCCAGAGAGGCAGTGGATGCTGCATTTGTAGAGACACCCAAGGTCAGGCTGGAGAGGCTCTGAGCACCTCATGTAGCTGTGAGTGACCCTGTTCATTGCAGGGGAGTTGGACCTGATTCCCTTTCCAACTCAAAAGATTCTATGATTCTAAATCCACACTTACTCTGGAGAAGAGATGGAACTGCAGCTGTTAAACTGATTGCTATCCAGAGCGATCAGCACAGAGCTGTTCTTCTGCTAACAGAAAGTAGCTGCTCTAACTTGGCCCAGGCAGTTTCTGGAACTGGTTTGGAAATAACTTCAAAATGAAAGGCGTTGCATCTGCAGCAGCACTGTGAAGCACGAAAATGGAGGGGGGAAAAAAAAAAAAAAAAAAAAAAAAAAAAAAAAGAAAAAAGAAAAAAAGTGTATTTGGATAAAATGAAAGATAAACTAATGGAGAAGGCCGAGGACTGTGTGCGCAGCGAATGGTGTGTGAAAAGCTGCGTGTTGGTGCCATCTGGTGGGCTCAGAGCCGCCCCGCGCCAGAGAGGCGCAGCTCTTCCAGCCGGGGCGTTACACTCCTGACATCACATCGTGTGTCCAAGCCTGCACAGACAGGAGGGAGGGGATGCAACGCAGAGGCTGAAGATGGGAGGACAGTGATGGAGGGTGAGAGATGCACAAGGAGTTGCCTTTTCTGGCATCAGTGTGCCTCACCTGGCTACAAGTGCCTATCCCAGCTCTGCTTATGTCTCTGCGTGTAATCACGGCTTTCTTCCATGGAGTTACATGACAGACTAGTGCAAGTACTGAAAGTACCAGCAATCGGATTTCACTGAATCACAGAATCATTAAGGTTGGAAAGACCTCTAATATCATTCAGTCCAACCACCATCCCATCCCCCCATGCCCACTGCCCATGTCCCTCAGTGCTACATCCACACTGCTCTGGAACACCTCCGGGGATGGTGACTCCACCACCTCCCTGGGCAGCCTGTGCCTGCAACACCACTCTTTCTGGGAATAATTTTTTCCTAATATCCAACTTGAGCCACCCCTCACACAACTTAAGGCCATTGCCTCTCATCCTATCAGTTACCTAGGAGAAGAGGCCTATCGCCATGTTGCCGTAATCTCCTTTCAGGCTGTTGTAGAGGGCAGTAAGTTCTCTGCTGAGCCTCCTCCAACATTCAGTGTTGTGTCTTGTGATATGACTGTGGCATTATCACCTGGCCATTTCAGCCCTTCATTTTAACAGATGTTGCATCATCCCCTGATTAAGGCACCAACATCTATGAATGTTAGGTTATGGTTGGATGGCCTTTAAGGTCTTTTCCAACCTGAGTGATTCTGTGATTCTATGATTCTATGAATCAAACTCCTGGACAATGCCATTACTGCACATTTCAGAAATGAACATAGACATGGTTTAAAGTTTTCGAGAAATAAAGAATCCACCACATCCCTTGGTGTGTTGTTTTTTGTGGTTAAGAACTCCATTAAAAATGGATGCACCTTGATTCAGAGTTCAGTAGATTTAAGCCTAAATTTCAAGTAATTGGTCATCTTATGTCTTTCCTTATGATTTAACCTGTTTTTACTGGCTTAAAGAATTGCTAACAGTCAGTAATCTTTTCTGTATATAAGCTCCATATTAGTGTATTGCAAAATATCCATACATATAGCCACAGAATGACTGTAGGAACTTCTACAATCTCTCCAGGTACTTGATTTTGGGGAGAGACTCGCCTTTTCTTCAAATGAATCTTTTTCTAAAACTGTCAGTCTGCAGTTTTCCTGTGCCTGAAATCTGTACTCTCAGTTTCATGCACAGTATCCTTTAGCTTCCCTTCCTGTAGTATCCACAAGCTATTTAGTTTCTATCTGTTCCCACATGTGTCTTCAAACACAAGTTGAAAAAAGCAAACACTGACATTTCCTTGTTTTTTTTTTTTTTATTCCCCTTCTAGGCTTCTGGACTCATACTCTTCTCTTTCCTTAGCTTTACTTAACTCCAAGTTCCCTCTTTTCCTCTTCACAAATACAATGATGCTTTCATTTTTTCCCTGCCTGAACTTCCCTTAGGTTCTTCATCCTGTGCTTTTTTTCAAGTTTTGTACTGTTCTCCCAACTACAGCTATAACTTCTTACGTGGTTACCAGTTTTGTACAAAGCAAATGTTGATGGTTATATATTAATTTTGAATTAAAAAGTAATGGAATAAATAAAAAAAAAAAGTATTTATTTCCTTAACAAGTTGATGAGGCTCAGAGAAGTGAACCTAAACACACTGACAAGTAAGCATTTTACACAAGGTAGATTCTTATTGCAGTGTATGTTACCAGCCTTGTAAATAACATAAAGTCAGAGTGCAATTGGTGACAGATGTTTAGTAAATTAACATGCAGTTTCTCATCAAATTTATGTACATCATGATATTCAAAATATTGTATTTAGGTGGGTGCTCACACAGTGAGAGCATCCTGAATTAAAGATCTCAGTCCTTTATAAAAATCCCACTACGTTCAGTGCTACAGCAGAATCCAGACTCAGTTACATACAACTAGAGGTATCTCGTATATTATAGACAACTTTACATATGGAAAACTATACTAAAAGTATTGACAACAACACAGTTATGATCTGCTTATTTTGTTGTTTAATATACCTTGTATTTCTAAGGGTACACATCTTTCATCTTAACTAAAGTATTAACACAAAATCTTGAATTTTTCTGGAGTGGAGTATGTTGCATTGTGTCTATTACATAAAATGATTTCCCTGTGGATGTAAGCAGGAGTTAGAGCAAGTGGTAACTATTTAAGTCAGTGAATTTCATGAAACATATCAAGCCACCATGTATACCTCTTCACAGAAATCAATATTCTTTTTATTTCTGCCTGAACCTGCAGTCACTTGAAGCAAAATGCAAACTATAAAATTGAATGCAGTCAAATGGAAGTATTCTAGCAAACAACCAAGCTGACAAATGAATAGAAGTGTCAGAGTGTACTTAATGGTATCATCCTGGTGTAAGGGGATAGTACCTGCTTTTTTTTATCTAAATTTTCTCTTCTCCATGAAGAGAAGATAAAATTACTGAGTCTCTCAACAAGAATACCATTTGGACTAGATGATCTTGTAGGTCGTTTCCAACCTTGTGATTCTATGCAGAAAAAAAGCTGGAGAAGCAACTTTGCATTTTTATATATAAAGTTCTAACTCCAAAGGTGGTTGTAAATAATGAAGCTGGGTTCATCAGCTGAGTATAGAGCAAAAGTATGGTGGACAAAAGTATGACTTCTCATATTAGTGGGGGAGAACTGTAAATATCTTAATAAAAAGCATAATCCTTTGCTAACTCTGTCGTGGTATGGTCTCTTTCTCAAATAATCCCCTGCCAACAGTGAAATGCACACCTGGTGATCCTAATACCATGTGTCAAGATCTGTGCTAAAATATGTTAATATAAGTGATTAAGGATTAATAACTTGGCCAACAGGTGCACCTTCATGTGGACTCTGTAGTTCAGCCAGGGATTCACTCAGAAATCATCTCTTAATAAAAAGCATTGATGAAAAAGCAGGCAGTAGCTTAGCACAGCTGCCAAACCTCTTCCCTTTCTAATTCACATGCATCCAATTGTGAGCTATGGTACAACAGTATCTGCATTCTGATTGGAAAGTTGGGGATATGCACAGAACTTCCGATGAAATGAATGAGCATTATCAGGATAGGATCTTTGATCCAGACTGCAGACAAGTTTGATCCCTATCTTGGATATACCAGCTTGAATTTGATGTACTTCCTTTGATTAATGCCACAGAGAACAGAATCTGCCCTACAGCTGCTGTTTTTCTTCGATATTCATTAACTATTTGTTGGTAACTTCAAAAGGAACAAAGTAGGTTAAGATCATTTTTTAAGCCCTCTTCATGTATTTGCATGATATAATATAGGAAAAGCTATGTATAGAGAAGAGTTCCTGTGCTGGAAAATATTATGAGCTGTTTATGTGATGTCTAGCTGTTAGCATGCTGTAATGCATAACCATTGTTGTACATGTAATTGTTGTAATTGGTCCAGTCATCTGCACATTGATATTCTTGATTAGGCTGAATGTATGGATGATAAACAGTTTCTTTCCCCAAGAAGTAGGATGGAGCAAGTCTTTGTAAAACAACAGCACTGAACTGGTATGTCAGCTTCCTTCGAATTTTAATAATTTCACCTGTTCTTCCATAATTCCTCAGTGCTCTGGCCATTTTCTGATATGTCATGATCTTGCGATTTCCCTTTCTTTCTCCCCACAGCTCTGCAAGTTTCTCCTTGTTTTTGGAGACAAACTGGAAGACGCCATTGGGCTTATCCACCCATTGGATGCAGTTTGCCATGGCTGGATCATACAGAGACTCGTGGAGGTACTCAAACAGACGAAGTTTTTTTCTACCTATTAAGAAACAAAGTACAAAAGGTCAGAACAGAAGTCGTGCCTGTTTTAAAAGGAAAGCAGTTGTCTTATTCCTGGAAAAGATCTTAAAGGAAAAAGCATACATAGGTAAGCCTAGTAACCTGTCAAAAAGTTTCCAAACAAACATTTTGCAGGAAATCATGTCCTCAGGCAGTGCTGGCAGGAAGTTCTGAAGGTCCAATCTGGAGGCTTTTTAATAAATACTTTCTCCTATTAATTAGAACTCAAAGATTTTGAGATGAACCAATTTTGACAGGTTTGTTTCAGGACTTTTTTGAGGAAGCAAGGTAGGCTCTGATATAAGAAGGAGTGAGCAAGAAGGAAAAGCAAGCTAGTTTTGCGTTGTAATTTTCACCTAGTCAATAAGGAGCTTTACCTTCTTGCACACTGCACATTTCTAAAAGCATGCAGAAATTTCAACTTGCCTTCCAATGCAGAATAAAGGAAGAAATATTTGTCAGTTAAGAAAATTCTTCTTCCCACAGGTCCAGCTCTCAAACTTAAGTTTACTAGTAAGGCTTATTTAGTTTCACTTAAGTCTTGTGGGTCCCTCTCTTTGAAGCACTCCTAGTTCCTTTCACTGAGCCAAGGGTGACCAAGAAGCTGCCATAAGGAGGAAGAATTGAAGATTACGAGACAAAGAGGAACATTTTGCAGAAAGGAGAGTACATGCAGAAGAATGGCTTCCACTTCAACGAAAGTGGAAACAAGCAGCTGCATCTAAATTTCATAGTCTTGTCTTGCATGGCTATTTTAAAGGCTGGGGAAAAGTGACAGTTGCTAAGGAACAGTGAGGTCGAGCCAAGACATCTGTTAGGGATGACAGTAACTCTGCTTCTGGTGATAAGGAAATAGGAGAGAAGTGGCCAGACTAGGAAGAAGAAGATCCTGAAAACAGAGGTACTTTCCAAAAAACTGTAAAGTTTCAGGATCTAAATAAAAATTGGCCTGTAGCTGGGAGTACGTTTTTTATTATAAATACATATAATATTGCCAAAATGAGTAGCTTAAAAGCAAACAGATGAGGAAGACTGCCTGGCCCCAGCAGGCCTGAATCATAGTGGGTGACATCCTTAGATCCCCTCCAACCTGAGTTATCCTATAATCCTAGGAACCCAATTAGAATGAATAAAATAAGGGGGACATGTGGATGTTTCTTCTGTTCATCAGAGCCTCTAGCTGCTGCACACAGAGTCTGAAGGAAAACAACTATGTGATGTTGTACATACCAGCATCTCAGAGTTCATACTGTCTTTCCTCTTACTTCAGTTGTCATTTCTGTCCAAGCTTTTATTTCTAGACACACACACACGTACTTCTTTCTCCAGCTGATGTCTTGGTTTGAGAGTACATAAGGGTTCATATGTGTGACTGAAAATAGATTTCTGTGCCCCAGCTATTATCCCTGAAGCCCTATACCGTGTGGGCGCATCAATTTGAGCTGGGATTAGTGCATGGATCTTCGTAATGCATAAATCTGCAGTGGTCACTACCTGTCCTCAAACTGTTGCACAGCATCAGTCCAAGCCAGCAGGCTAGTTTATGTAGGTTCTCATGTAGTCACTGGAGAGAAGGAGCTCCTCCAGAAGATGTTTCAGAGCATCTGAATTAAGTTTCTGCACTGAATTGGCCTAAAGCAGCTTAATTCTCTCTGAATGTGTCTTTTGAATTTCTTTCTTGATTGTCTCCACCTACCATGCTTTAGTTCATAACAAGGAATGGTCTAGAAATGAATGAACTGGACTTGTTTCAGAAGCAATCAGATTCAAAGATGTTTTCCAGAAGTGCTGGTTGTTTCATCTACAGATCTATTCCTGAAGGGCCACACTACTTACTGTTCTACAGATAGCCTCTCATGCATCAGTAGGGGCTCAAGAGGACTAAAATTTCATAGGTACAAAGTAAATAGATTGATAATAATGTAAAAGAAACATGAAATAGGAAATAAAGCTTAACAGAGCAGTAACAGCGGTGACTTCAGCTAGTAACATATAAAATTCCCTGGGTTCCAACACTGGGTAAAACTTAGAAGAGCAACATTTCTTGGCATGTTTGTGTTTGTGGCAGTGAATGTCAAGATTTAGGAGTCCTGAACTTAAAAGAAGAGATTATTCTTCTCATCGTCCCGAGGAACTTGTAGTAGCTGGGCTACTAAGCAACGGAAACCACAGTACCCACCATCAGTGGGAAGGGATGATACCAAAATCTGACAGCATGTGGTTAAAGTTAAGAGAAGGGGATTTCAAAAAGCAAGAAAACTAGGAAGCTGCTCAAAAGGACCCCACAGTCAAAAGTAGGTACAAAGCTGTGGAAATCTCATCCAGTAGAGTCATAGAAAGGATGCTGAGTCCCATCTGAAAAACAGAATGAATGCAACAACTGAAGTAAAGTGATGATCACTGGCACTTGACCTGTACCCTACAAGAGAGATGCCCATTCAAGTAGAGTCAGTCAAAAAGAGCATAAAAACAGCTATCAAATTGTGCTCCTTTTCTTGTCACAAAAGCTAAGAAAAAATATGAATATTAAACAGAGAAAGTTATAAAATCCAATTCAAACATATTAACATCTGGGGAAAACCTTCAAGAAAGCTGTTACTTGCTGAATCACATGAAATAAATGAGTTATTAAAGTGATTAAATATATTGCTGTACTTCTTTGCATTAGACTTCAACCGAGATGATTTGAAGTGAAAATGCATCCCTTGTTCATTTTTCCATGTAATAAGCAAGAGCAGAGAACGAGAAGTGAGGAGATTTATCTTAAAGTATAAGGTTTAGCAGACAGGAACTGAAAATTTGCAGTTGTATTCTAGCCGTTGTTAAATATTAATGTATTTTTCCTATCAGAAGTAAAAAAAAAAATAAAAAAAGCCAACAAAACAAAACAACAAAAATAAACACACAAACAAACAAACTAGGACATAGAATGCATGATTCATCAAGGGAATTTTAAAGTAACACAATGCACTTATCAAGAGATATTCTTTCCACACACCTTTCCCTGCTTTTGGCTGGACAGCAGCAGCATGCATCACTTGGCTTTCTGGAGTATTCTGCAGTGTATGGTAGACAGAATCATCTGCATAAAAATCTGCTGCACTGTTCTTCAAGAATTAAGACAACGAAGAGTTAGCAACTTAAAGATTAATCACCCGAAGCCTTAAAAATGCAACTTTTTCATCCCCTGGCCCCCAGAAGATTCTTTCACAGCCACAAAGGCGTGCATTCTAGTCTATCAGTAAAAAGTTACGCCAGCATGTTGAATGGGAATGATGGCCCACCAGAGAAGAAGTTAAGAGGAAAATCAGAATGATTTCCTCACTCTGCATCTTTAACCATTCTCCTGGAAGCAGAAGAGGAATTCTGGACATTTTTTTCGGAGTCAATAAAAGACAAGGACCACCTGGACTGTGTCTCAGGAGAGACTTTGTCACTGCTGTGTTAGATTCTCACTAATCTGCTGGCTGAAAATGGGCTTTTGTGAAATTCATTTACCTGAAATTATCTCCTCTGCACCACCTATTTCCCACCACTCCTGCAGGCCACACTTCCAGAATGAAGATGGGCTCTGCAGGCTAAAGTTTGTTTGTTAGTTGTCGTTTTACATAATGAACCACAGAATAGCACCAAATAGCTAAACTGATTCCTGAAGAAAGACTAATAAATACGTTTTGCAGATATGCCCCAATGTGATTTCACCTGAATTATACCTGACCAGACCGAGTTTATGATAGAGGTAGCATAATTATTTCTACTAGAAATCACAGTCAGCCAATTTTCAGTTTACATCCATAGTAATTAGCTCACTTACTATCACAGTTCTCCAGCTATATCCTGGGTCCTCTGTAGAGGGTACTGCAGAATAGCTGGGACTTGCTCGGAGGTGGGGATGATGGTTGATCACAGTCAGGCAGTTTTTATAACCTGAGAATTTGGAGCAAAAAACTGAATAAAAAAAAGAGGGAAGGAGAGAAAAACAGGCAAAAAAAAAAAAACAAGAACAACTGCAGCAAACAACCTAAGATGCTACTCATCTGTCAAAATGTGATTATCCTATTGTTGCCATCTGGGTAATAAACTCCCTATAGCCAGGATGTTTCATGCCAGTGGGTTATCCAACATAACCTGCATACAGGTACCTATAATGGTACCTGCCTCTAGGCTGGTTTTGGTAACCTCCATGACTTAAAGCAATGTTCTTTAAGATAAAATGTCAGTTATTTTATAGTATTGTGAGATAGTTTTCTTATTAGAAAAATGGAGGGCCAAACTGATTATCAAATGTAGGGAATGGGATAATTACAGAAGATTATTTTACATATTTTGAACAGGAAAAGGGAATGCCACATGATTCTTCAGCAAGTCATTAGTACAACACAAGTGAGAGTATAGAAACACGAATGAAGTGAAGGACAGAAACTGGTAAGTATGATTCTGGGCAATACTGTTTCAGTTATCTAAAAGCATTACTATTCCAAATCAGCTATGGGAAAAAGGAATTTCTCAGAGCATCTGCAGAGCCTGAAAGAAAACTCAAAAGGGTCCCAGGATGTTTAAAAGAAGCAGAAGAGGATACTGGAGTAAGGCACTGGAAGCGGAGCAATGTGTGTGAGCAACAAGGCGTAAATGTACACTGAGTTGCAAGTATTTAAATGTCTCTCTGTTGGCCCTGACAACAGATACAGACATTGGGAACATTTATATGTAGTGGATACTTCAGTGTGCAAATTTCCACTGAAGTGGAGGCAAAAACTTATTAACAACAGCTGAAGATATGAGCCAATTTGTCTTATTTACATTTCAATGTATCACAGATAAACGCGCAAATAAACTTTCTGGCATGAAATACCTTCCTCACAAAGGACAGTAAATATGTTCTTCTGGACGTAAAGGATTTGCAATGTAGCTTCTTACTTTCCTTCCATTTCTATTCATGATATAAAAACACCATATACAGATACATTTTAAATTTTATTGCATTTTAATTGCAATTATCTTCCCTGAACTGAAGGAATATGCAGCTTACCTGTATTTTAAGTTTTGTAGTGCATAAATTCTTAATCTGGAAGCCAGGAAAATTACTTTTCTGCTAATAACATAGACTGTGCCTAAAAATATTTAAAATTTGTACCTTAATGTAAAAAAGCAATTATGGAAACAAAATTCATATGTTGAATTCTTTGTCTTCTTTTAGTCTTTGCATTGGAATTCATTCCTATATGAGTTTATTTACACCATAACGTAAGGGCATTTTTCAATTGAAGCATTAAAACTGGAATATGCCTGTTGCACTTTGGTCTTACATGTTTTGTTTCGAGCTCAATACACCTCAAATAGTACAGGATGGAAGGGGAAGAGGGGCTGTCCAGTAACTTCCCTGTGATATGGCTTGGAAGATGCAAACCACCCTGGGCAGGGTCAGGTACAAAAACCCTCCAACCCTTCTCCATTTTCATCATAGAACGGCTTGGGTTGGAAGGAACCTCAACGATCATCTAGTTCCAAACTCAATGCCACAGGCATTGTACTCCTCAGCTGTCCATTAATCCACCTCTAGAAGTTACTGTCCCAGCCATATATTTTAAGATATTCTTTTCTGTAAGAATATAAAGCTGTAAGTAAAAATAAAGTAATGTCCCCCCTTTACCTTGTGAGTACTGCATTTCTCTGTCGGAGTGCTGCTGCAGTACTTCTAGTGCATCTTCAAAAGCCTGACCCAGTATGTCTTGATCAGAAAAACTCTGCAAGAACATATTTCTGTCAAAAGTCAGAAAAGACCAGGTGTTCTTCAATATCATCAGTAGGAAGATCCCGAATAAATACAGCGATTACATAGAATGTTCAGGTATCATACCATCCTCCTGGAACGTATTTTGCAGAAAATTAAGTATTACCAGAATCTCTACTATTATGAGAAAGTTCTCACTCCCATGAGAAGTCTCTTTGAGGTCAGTGGGAAAACTCTCACGGGTAACATTACTCACTCTGGCAAATGTTTCAAGGTTCATTTCCTTCATTTGCAGCAGAAGTTTACTTAAAGGGTGTTACCATTATTGCAGTGGGTTATAGCATTTAGTGCAGAGGTATATATCACTTGTTTACCATGATTTATGAAGCCAATATTATCATTCAGTATCATCGACATGGCAAAAAATATTACTTGCAAATCTGGAATTGCTTATGCAGAGACAATGTTATATTATACTACTCTAGGAAACAAAGCAATTTTGAAATAGATTTTCAGCAAAATTTATTGTCATTTTAGAACATTTTAGAATGCTGGAACTTCAACTGAAGCTAAGAAAAGTCTTCCCAAAATCTGTTGGCCTGGGAGTTTTCTGTAGCATATTTGAAGTTCTAGGTAATAAAAGAATAAAGGCATTGTAGACTTACCATTATTTAGATATCAAAACTTGAATCCTGTTTAGAAAAAAACAAAAAAAAACCCAAAAAAAACAGTGAATTTGTATATTTCAAAATAAACAATGTCTCAGCATAAACAAATGAAATGAAATGCATATTATTTCTAGTGATGAAACAAAGTGAAACTACTTAGGATTTAGGATTAGAAAGTGGTGATTTGTTTTAATGCAGTTAAATACATGTAAAATTTTTTTTTTACAATTCATACTATCTTTCATTACTGGTGTTTCCAATTTCATTACTACTGTAGCATTTAGATTACCATCGATATCATCATAAACATATTTTTAGAGACTACTTGATGTTAAAAGAAGTTACTGCTGACATTCAGTCTTAGCTCAACTACAATTTTCTCATTGAAAATAGTGACTAGAATTAAAAGATAACATGTAAGTCCTTTTATTCTTTAGTTATAGTAAAAAAAAGCTTGTTTTTTTCCATCATGTAAATTAAATTAGCATCTGACTGTATATGAATATACAAAAACTTCCAGAGTAGGTTCGAGTTCCAGAAACAAATGTCATTGTTTAATAAACAGTGAAAATAGGCATTTTTCAGGTATCTTAATATAGAGTATTCTTTTACATACAACATTACTCAGAAATGATTCCTTATTACCTCTTGACATTTGTTACAGATTGTAATAATTGAAGTTTCTTATAACTTGCAGCTTTTTTTAATCCTGTTCTCATTTCCACTTATATTTCAAAATGGTAAAAATTAACAATAAAAAATATTTTTTATTTTACTCTTTAAAGCTTTGATTATAGCCTATTGAAAAAAAATGGACATTTTGGTACTGATTTCAGCAGACAACAAAATTGGTCCGTATGATGTTTTAAAATGCAAGGAATAGGAAAGATGCTTAAGTGTAAGAGAGAAGTGTTTTCAGCCAAGACTCACAATGGATGTTCTAACTTGATAATTATGCCTCAGTCAGAATATACATATCTTAAAGTACACCATTAAATACTGTCAACATTCATAAAAAGCTTTTTAAGATCTTGATGACTATGCATGTCAGAAAGATCTCAGTATGTGGAATGAAATCCTGGTGGTTCAGTCAATTGACCTTGCCAGAGCCAATGGGATTTCTCTCTTTAATTTCAGCACAGCAATTATTTCAACAAGCTAATTTCACTATAAAGCCAGAACAGACCACATTAATTCTTTACTTGCAATGGTTGCCAGAATCTTGGAGCTGTAGAAATTAAAGACGTGAATCTCATGGGTAAAGACCCTAGTTATCATAATTTTAATTGTTTCACTTTCTTTAAAATGCATTTGTCTAACTCAAACTTCAAAGTGACAAGTGGTAACCTTGACAGAATGTCTGCAGTTGATGCTTTTCAGAGCCTGAAAGGGTACTGAAAATTATCACTATCAGCAACATACTGTTGAAAGGTCATACCAATTACAAAACTGAATTCAGTTTAAAAAAAGAAAAAGAAAAAGTTACAGCAAAAATGAATTTTAAAAAATAAATAAATCTTAACACTTACCTAGAATTTCAGCTCTACACACAACACAAGAATCTCTGTTTTCATAAATAAATGAAAGACTGAGTTCCCATAGCAATGGGCCAGCAAAGGGGCTGCATTAAATAGCTGGTTTTGGGGAAGTGTTTTGGGAAGGGAATTTTTCTAAGAGTAAAGGTGTAGTACAGTACTAGCATGGCCTTCATTAAGCAGAAAAGAAGGGTGATTTAAACAAATAAAACAAAACTAAACGTTATAACTACTTAACAAAACTATGAAGATTTTAGGAATTGGAAGAGAATCCTTTTGGCTGTGAGACATTCTAACAGATCTGCCATTGGTAAGTTATAGGGCAAAATCCTACACCCCTAATCTATCCCAAACAGACTGCAGTGGACCTTCTGGTTTCAGATGAACCTCCTGTTTACCTCAGTGTAAGAAGAAGACAAAACCAGACCCCAAAATATGAGTTTTGGGGAATATCAAAAGTCTGCTTCACAGCTCAGGTTTATTGCCCAGGCCCAGCTCTAAGGCATTTAGTAAAGATCCCATCAAGCTGTAGGTGCTGATTTGATGCACCCTTCCTGAGCAGCTCAACTCATGATACTGTGTCCTCTGGGATGAGGACTCAACTCATGATATTGTGTCCTCTGGGGTGAGGACTCGCTATGTTTTTCAGTAGAAAACTTCTTGCCACTGACATAATCCTGTGCCATAACTGTGCAACCAAGTTTTTCAGAGGCACGCTTCACAAAGTATTGTTAACATACACTGTGACATTTCTGTAAAATAGTAATCACCTCTTACAACATTTATTTATATTCTCTCAGACAAGAATTGCCTTAAGAGCCATAGCCTGCACTTGTCTGTGAATGCTGAGTGGAAGTAACTTGAAGTCAATGTTAATATCAACTATCATTTTCTTGTTTCAGATGCAAGTTGCCTTTTCAAAATTTACACCACAAGCTTTCAAAATTTCTTTTTAATGGAGTATATTAATACACGTATGTGTTTTTTTCAAAATACAAGTTCCACTTCATAGTACTTTTCTGCTATGACATGGGTTTATAAGGAAAAATGAATCAACAACAGCACTGTCAATTCAGTGACTCAGCACTGGATTTCAGTGCAAAATTCTATTACACAATTAATTCCCTCTGCATAAACTGCTAAGTTTATTCTGTAATGTGGAGAAACATTGATGTCTTGGTATGGCTCTTTTCTGCAATACAGCTGTATCAGATTTAAAATTATGAATGAGCTTCAAGATCTCTTGTATCATCATGATAATTGAGGTATTAATAGGCAATCTGATCTACTTACCCCCACATCTCTATCTGAAGTTGGAAATTTCATGCTCATTCTGGCTACAAGGCTACTGGGTGGAGCCAACTCAAATATGATCAAAGTTGAGAAATTAAAGCCATTGCATTGCTCAATCAAAATGTTTCATTTAAGTAAGAGGCTACAGTGTAAGGAAGGTCATCAAAAGGTTACTTTTCAGAAGAAATGGGAAAGTTCCGTACATAGAACACCATATCACACGTAAACATGAGCAGTCATTGTCTCATAGGGTGAATCAAACTCCTTCTGTATAGTCAAGATAGGCGATGTGTTGGCCTCTACCAAGAAATGCTGTCGCAGAAGAAAGCCTGTTTTGATTTTTGCACTGGATGGGACGATAGAATTCAGATAAAAGCCTAAAAAAGATAACTTACTATTGAAATGATGTCTCGTACAATTGATGTGCCTGACAGCAAAACTTCAATATCAGTAAGAAATCACAGCATCAAGCTTTTTTCCTTCATCCGTGTTTTAAAAATAAACTTCCAGTGACAGAGTGATTGTTGAAGTTTCAGAACATTCTGTCATTCTTGCTTGGAACTAAAAGTCAGTTCATAATATTGGAATAGGGCAAGCATTTTCACCTTTCTGAATAAAAAGAAGAACTAAATAATGCATTACAGCACTTGCTGGTGGGCCGTAGAAAGCATGAAGACTCTTGCATGAGGCATTGTTTAAAAGTAGAATAAAAAACAGTCAAGACCCCCCTATAGAAGCACAAAACTTGAAATTATAAGCTTTCTTACTAGGGATTTTCAGCTTTCTCAGATGTTTTTCAATGTCAGATAGTTTGTAACTGCCCAGGTAAAACAGACAGACTACTTGCAATAGAAGAAGATCCTCTGTTTTTAGAAATGATTCTGTAATGGGGAGTCACTTGCCCCCCATGTAATAGATGAACTACCAGTTCAGCAATCTTCAGAAGTTAGTTATAAAATGTGGCAGCTACAGAGAGCTCCCATTTTTGCATACTTGTTCTGGCCTTTGGCAGATCTCTTTGCAAATCCTATTCTGGCCGTGCAGCTCTTTGAATGAGCAATGATCGTCATCATGAATTCCCATGGCTGTCGGTTCACGGTACTGAAAAACCGCAGATGCTGTCTCCCTATTAGAGGGAACGTGCCTGCGCTCTCATCCTTAACCTAACCATGTTGACCAGCAAATTTTCAAATCCTGACAGTATGCTTGTTCTGGTCTGCTTCATTCAAGGTCTGAAAGAAGTTGGAAAGTTTCTTTTAGCAAGGAAACAGCTTTTTTCTTTACAGAGAAGAAACAGGAATTGACAGAGAGATCTCTTCTTTTGCAGTGATAATCCAGGCACAAGTATTTCACAGTGAATTGGTATGGAATACAATTTCAAATTAGTGGCTTCAGAAAGTACTTAAAGTTCCGAGTCCCAAAATACAATGAAACTCCCCCTTAAAAACACAACAAAACTAACAAAATCCAACAACATTGAATACTAAGCTATCAAAAAATAAAAATAAGCATGCTAACTACTGGCCTAAGTAAACACTGCTTACTGTGATTTTGATCAGATAATTAGTGTAGAATTACAGACAGAAAAAAAACCTGAATGCTAACATTAAAATGGAAAATACAATTATGGCATTATGTCGCACAAGAAAATGAGATAATGAAACTATATCTGAGGGCTACATTTGTGCTAGGGGATTTTGGTCTATGCATTTTGAAAAACAAAATGATCTATTCAAATACCAGAA